CTTGACCACCCAGCCCAGAAGTTTGGAATTCTTAGTTCTATTAGTTCAGATATGGGGCCGGACCCGAATCCTCGGGTCAGGTCGTTTCTCCTCAATCCCTAGCTCATGAAGAGCGTTCTCTTGGGTTTCCATCGAGTTTCTGGCTTCGGTGGGCTTGGTGACTGTGCGAGCTGTTGGGAGTGCGGGTGGTCCACAAAACCCAAGAAGATGCTTCAGATCATTTCCGCACCTACCCAGACGCTCCAAACAGCCCGACCGGTCCCTCAAAACCTAGGGAATGGTTCGACCCCAGACCCCTCCAAAGGATTCGGGTCCAACTCCTCCATATGAGGGCCCAGGGTCGTGTCTGGGTAGACGGAAATGACTTTGAAAGGATTCACCGGGGCCCGACCTCCCTCCCTCGAAGCGCAGGGACTCAAGTGACCTAACCCGTAACGCCGTATCCCGAAACGCAGGGGTCTCGCGAGAGATTCTGATTTGCAGCCAAATCTGAGATCCTGGATGGAGTCTTTTGGGAACTTTGTGGATGAAGGGATGGAAGCTCACTGAAAATCGGACAGGGAGTTGTTGAGATGGAGTAGTACAGAGATGTAGGGGGTGCTTTCTAAGCCCAAGTGTCTCGAAGCCGGACGATTGCCGACGCAGTCATTCGAAGCCGGTCTTCCTGGATTGGAGAAGTTACCATGGTTTCGAATTCGGGTCATGAATTCGGTGATGCAGGTTTCCTGGGGGCCTCCTTTGCTGTGTATATCCCTAAGGTCTTGCTTGGCGCATCCTTTTGCTTGTGAACAACTGGTCAATTCAGACAGAAGCCCATGGCTTTCGTTTCGTCCACCGATATCCATGGAGAAGGATTCCTGGCCCAGGCTCCACTGAACAACCAGCTGTTTTACTGAGGATTTTACACGACAAAACTGGCTCAAACTTTCTTTTAATGGTCTTGGTCTTGGAAGTCTAAGACATTTGGGCCCCCCACACACACACACACATCTCCCCGTGGATACTTGGGGACATCACTGTCCATGTCCGAAGGCCAAGAAGCTTCGGACAAAAGGGGATCTTTTTTCAAGCACGAAAGCACCTGAAAGGCTGGCTGAAAGCAACTCCCTGGCGGAAGCGGGGCATTGGGGCGGAAGTTGGCGACAGGGGCTCCAACTCCCATCGCTCGGGCTCCAACTACCTCCTCATGTGCATTTGGACCGTCGCCCACAGCAACCACCTCCGAAACGAAGGTAAGGAAGATAAATAGCAGCCCTAAGGCAATTGAAAGGCGACTTCTGAACAACACAGAAGCATGGCCACGCTGTTCTCCGACCCGACATGGCCTTCGCCAGCCGCGTCTCGCGCCGTGCCACCGGTGGCTGCGTGGCGCCGGCAGGCGGGCGGACGAGGGACGAAGCCGGTCCAGGTCCGACCCAGGTCCCAACCTGGTCCTGAAAACCGAAAAGAAATGGAAGCCTTTTAAGAAACCTGCCCTTTTTACAAGTCTAGTTTAAGGTTATCCGGTGATGATCATTGAGTATTTGGTATGATCAGCGTCTAGATAGCCAAATGAGGTTTTGACCCTATAGGGTACGTGATGAAAGTTGGACCACTTCTAGTTCTAGTGAAACCCCCAATTCCGAACCAGGTTGCAATTCCGAAGAACGCCCAAACCAACGACCAACTGCTACATGTTGTTTTCAAAACCCTGGGCTCAAGCGGCTCAAAACCCAAGGCAGACTGAGGGTTGTGCGACTCTTGAGCTGGGTGCGGCTCCATCCGCTGGTCGTAGCTCGGGTTGACACCGTCGCAGGACTGACTGGTGCGACTCGCAAGGAATGAAGGAATGGATTCTAAGGTATCCCCCACCAGCACCCTCACTGCCAGGTCACCAACTGAGACCTCCAACACGGCCTTACAGCCCTCCATTTCGGAGACCTGTTGGAGGGTGCTGGTAGACGTCCAAAGACCATTTTTTGCACCACCGCCGAAGTGTTGGAGAAATTGTTGAACTCGGATCACTTTAAAGAGTATTTATGAAATAGTCGACTGGACTCCCAGCGTATCCAGACTATGGTGAGGGGTCATTCCCTTCTTCCCTACTACGAACCAGAGAGATGAGGACACGAAGCCTCCAACGTTTTCGTTGCACACGGCTTTGCCGGCGACCCGGTCTGTTGGTGGAAGATCTGTATATAGCAGGGGACACCGGTGGAAGCCGGCAGACGAAATTCTGTAGCACAGGTGACCATTCAATGACTGTATACTGTATCCCCAATTAAGGTTTCCCGGCCCATTGTTGGAATAAGTTATTGAAGGTCTTTTTTCCCGAACAACACTTGTTTACTGCTTTACTTTCAGGACTTTACACTACAACACCCAGAAGGCTAGGTTTTTTTTTCACCAATATAGATGCAATCAAAGAAGGCGAACACCATACCAGTCACTACCACACTCCAACAGGTCAGCAGCTGCACTTTGAAGTCTCCATTTCAGCAACCAGAGGAGACCTGCAGAGGAGACCAGTGCTGGTAACGGTCTCTCTCATTTGATTGGTCAACCCTCCGACTACGCTACACAAACAACCAGAAACAGTGGCGACGCACCAGCCAAGTTCTGGCGCCAGCTCGAGATCCTGAACACGGAAGTGGATGGGACTGGAGACACACATGTTTCTTTCTGGTTTGGGAGCTGCTCAGCTTGCCGTCTCCGGAGCCTCTGCTCCAAACGCCCAAGACAGGGTGATCCGTCTCCGGTCTCCACCTGAGTCCTCCAGAACTGCGTCGTTTCTCTCGTACCCAAGGCGGCCTGGGGTCGCCCACCATTGAATAGACGAAATATCCCGAACAACCCATGTTTTACTAAGGCTTTGACAAACAACTCAAACCAGGTCAACCATTTTTAACATGATTGTTGGAAGGTGACTGGGTGTATGTGAAGAAGATGTATAATATACGTACCCGAAGAATTTCCGGGTGTTGGGTGTCGGCGAACCCTTTCCCCCGACAAGTCCAAGGATTGCGGTTTCTTCAAGAAACACGTTGACCTGGTAAAAATCCGGTCGAAGCAACGCTGGCTCGGTGTATCCCCCATATCAATCGGTTCCAATCCAGCCGGGGAATCTGTGGGAGATGTGATCCTTTCCTGAGAATCTGGGCCTTCTCCCGGAAGAAACGCCAGGGGGGAAAAGAACCTTCGAACCTCTGACAGGGGGAAAACGGTTTCCCCCTTCGGTTCGGTTCCCGGATTCTTAGGACTCTTGAATTCTGCCACCTTAGTAGTACAGCCAGGAGCCCCTACTGTAGTAGCGTCCGAACGCTCCGTTCGGTTCGCGATGCCATGGTCGCCCCGTTCGTAGCGAACCTTGTTCCTAGCGATTCTGGAACAACCACTCAGTTCATGCACCTCGCCCGGCCCGATTGCGCAGCACCGTTTTGCGCGCGCGACGGTGGTTTGCGCGGCACGTAGAACCGAGCGCCCGGTCCTGGGGCGACGATGTCGGAGTTGGAGAAGTCCTTGTTGGAAGCAGCGAAGACGTAGCTTGGGCCATCCATGTTGGGGCTGGAACGAGGGAAGGATGGACACGAAATAGGGATGGTGCACCAAGTAGTATATTCTTTCTGTGGCGCGCTCATTCTTGTTTTAAAGCTTCTCCAACCTGTATATAGTGTTCGAAGAATGGTCAGATCACCGCACATTTTGGACATTGACGAACCGAACCAGGTCAGTCCGATGGGAATGGTCATTACGTGGGGTTCTTGGGTTCTTCAGGAAATTCTGCAGGAAAGGGATCATGTGGAAGAGTCCAAGACTGATCCCTGGGCGTCCAAATCCCTCAAAGTCCAGTCGACGACGACACGAGTCTATCCTTTGCTTCGGTGGTCTCCAAAATCGTCGAACTGGACAACTCCAGGACCTTCGAAGAGGTGTCTATAAACAGCCTCTTAGAGGTTGAGAGGTAAGGTCCTGGTCTAGGGTGATTGTGATGCGGCTGGCCAGGATGGCTCCACTAAACTGCGTAACTAGGTCCAACTCCAGACTGAAGTCAGAAATCCATCCATCGAACAAAAACATAGGAATGGGTCGTTCAACCAAAACATAGGCACACCAGTCCACCATGACATGGTCAAGCGACACCAGCCAACGGACACCAGTCAACCGTTCGTATTTTCCTGCCATGATCCACCACATCAGCTTTTGGATTAGCATGGTCCAGATCAGATCTTAGGGTTTCGGAGATGAGCACACATGGGATGAGCTTCCGGTTATGGTCAATGCCTGGCAACCAGTCCCGACTCAAAGTCTCCCGAATCGTTCGAACTGCCAGTCCACGCTCCGTGTTTTCACAGGCCTTTCCCGGTCCCTTAAAAGATATACCCTGGGAGTCAAAGACTATAAAAAGAATGGTCTGACTAGGGGACCTGATTTCGGGAACTTCCCTTACTTCAGCTGGTCAAAATATCGTCGAACTGGACTTCTAGGGTATATGTACTATATACCAGGACCTTCCAACAGTTTGGACACCCCGAATCACACCTAAGAGGCTATTTATAGATCATATCTTGGAAGGTATACATACCAGGACCCTCCAACAGGTCTCCTCTGGTGGCTTTTGGAGACTTAAAAATGGCAGGTGGTGACCTGTGAAGTCGGGTGCTGGTATGTCTGTAGGCCTATAGACATTTGAGAACCCAGACCCCTCCAAAGGATTCGGGTCCGATCCCGGGTTGAGGGTCTGGCTGGAGGGACGTTTGTAGAGGAGCGATGACCCAAGCATTGGCAGAGTCGGAATTCCGTCTGTCGATTCCCCTTCACTGGAGTGCTTGGCTCATGATGGGCTACTTAAGTAGCTTCTCAAAAGATATATTCACTGACCTGGTTTCGAAGAAAAGAACCAGGTAACCTGGTTACTTATACATGCAAGGTTGACCTGGTTTTGCCGTGTCAAATCCTTTCTAAACCAATGGTACTGGTAGTTGTTCTATTTGCAGTTCCTTCGAAGGAATTCGATGCTACGAATGCGTTTGCGTCTTCAAACGTCTCCGCATTGGAAGTCCTCCAGGCTGAACTTGGAGGCGGTTCAGGAGTTGTTGAAGAAAGGTGCTGATGCCACCTACATCGAGGTGCGTCCACGGCCCAGAAGTGCTTTTTCGCGAATATGTCTCGCATCTTTCTGGCGTCTTTCGCCAGTCTTTCGCGCGCGAGAGCGAGAGCGAGAGCGAGAGCGAGAGAGAGAGAGAGAGCGAGAGCGAGAGCGAGAGCCAGAGCGAGCGAGCAAGGGAGGGAGGGAGGGAGGGAGGGGAAGGCGCCCAGTGCTGTTCTCTTGGCGACGTCCGGGTTCACGGTGGGTCTTGCTGAACCAGACGGGTTTGATCGAGAGGACAGACCTCGGCTCAAGGTAGTTCACCCCCAAGTGGACCAGGACATACGCACGGGCCGCTCTTGTTTCCCTTATATCCCTTAACCAGATCATGTTTTCCTTAACCTCATATCAGCTTCTCAAGGTAGTTTCCCTCATATCTGGGACGGAACCGGATCATGTTTCCTTTTTTCCCTCCGCCTTCCGCGGCTTTTCCGGTCGCACGACCCTCTCCCCGTCCGATCCTGGCGTCCGATCGTGAGGACCCCGAGGGAGTCTGGGGAAGCCGGGCCAAGAACGGGCCACTCCACTTGGCACTGCGGAAGAGGCCCTACAAGTCGGACGAGGACGTCAGAGGGGGTTCGTCCGGTCTGCCGCGCGAGTGGGGGAACCTGCCGGAGTTCGGGGAACCGGTCGCGGAGGTCGGGGCGCGGAAGGCGGAGATTTTGGGGGGAAGGCAACATGACCACAGCATCCGGAAAACCATCACATGCATAGATTTGTGGATGCAAATCCAATGTACCTCAGGTTGCAGGTCCTATAGGGTCACTTAACCTCTCTTGGATGGTCAGGATGTGAGCTCCTATCGCGAGCAGATCGACAACTGGACTTCGGTGGCCCGATCTTTGATTGAGGCCAAGGCTGATGTGAGCCCTGGCAACACTGGGAGTCGGAGTCCTTTTTCCGCGGCCAGCCCGATACTTTTGGGGAATCCAGCATTAAACAATCAAGAGTTCTGATAGGGAACTGAACACCTACCAGCACACCCTGCCAGAAGTCGGGTCCTGGTACATCCCGTGTTGTGTTCGCCCGCAGTCCGATCCTGGACCCCCCCCAAGGAACGCCGTCAGCGAGGAGTTCGACTGGCGAGGCTGTGGCCATGCCGAGTCTGGGCTTCAACGAGAAGTTCAAGCCCTAGCAACACCCGAAACCTTCCAGGTCACCAATGGTTCAAGCTCCAACAGGCTCTTTAGGGCCTTTTCCCTCCCAGCTCCAACAGGGCCTTTCCCTCCCAAGCCTCCAGTTCGGAGACCTGGCAGGTATCGGGTGCTGGTAGAAGTCCAGTGAAAGACCATATTTCGCCACCAAAGTAAAGGAACTTCCTGGACTCGGTAAGTACCAAAGATAAAGGCTGTTTTGAACAGTTGACCACATACATCCGGTCACCTTAATCACTTTTTGGTCGACCACAGACTCTCTCAGGTTCGAACCGAATAACGATGTATCTCGCAGACCAGGCTTTGCTTGGCTTCCGTGACCTGCGAGGTTGCTGGGTGGTGTTTTTGATGGTTTTTGGGATGGTGATGGGTTTGCTTTGTAGATGAAAAGGCGGACATGTTGCACAGTTGGAAGAGTCAGAATATATGGCAAGGTTATATAATTAACCATGACCTTCCAACCTATGTTTTTTGGAAATCCTTTAACCTCTAAGAGAGACACCTCTTTGAGGGTGTTGGAAAGGGGTTTCAAGGGTTTGGTTTGTGTCTAGATGGATCCTGGTTGGGGTCAGGTTGCCTGGTTGCAACTGGTTCTGGGTCGGGCTGCTCTCGGTTCCGACCCTCACGCTTTCGCCCGACGGTCGGAGCGGTCGGGGAGGAGGAGGTGCCTGCGTCCGCAGCGTTTTGGACACCGAAGGCCATGTCGGTGTCCATGAGTCGACGGTCTTCGCTATTCATCTAGTCACAAGCTCACTCACAGGTTTCTGTCGCCTTGGGCCAAGAGATGGCAAAGACAAACACACTAAACCCTTCAAACCCCTTAATTCACCTCCTCATATAAACTGGATCTTCCAACAGGTGGTTTTTGGACACCCCGAATCACCTCGAAGAGGCTATTTATAGACACCTCAAACGGAAGCTCCCGGTATAAACTGGATCTTGCAACGACCACCAGCTCAACAATTTACCCTAAGAATCCTTACTCTCCATGGCAGGGGTCGGACCCTCCATAGCAGGGGTCCGGGCCCTCAATACCCTATGTGTTTGAGGGTCCGGATTCTTAGGGTAATACAAAAAACCTCCTTCAACCCAGAATCAACCCGACGTCCGGACACGTCTTCCTCCGGACCGACGGAGGAAAGTGCCTTCGATTTGGCGATACCCTTCGTGGTGCAAGACATCGCCTTCCTGGAGCGGAAAAGACGACAAGACGAGACGAAATCGTGAAGCATCGCGAGACGAAGACGAAGACGAAGATGAAGACTGAGACTCCAGTTGTGTGTGTTGTGTGTTGTGTATTCTTTTGTTTGCATCCCCTTTGTTGTGACCACATGCAGCTGATCTTTGGATGGGAGCAAGGGAAGGGCTAGGGGGAAGACCATCCGGTCAGTTCGGCACGACCGGTTCTTTCCACCGGGTGAGTCCGTGGTGAACAACCGGGGCGACCTGGTGCTAAAGGATCGTCTTACATAGACACCTCTTGATGTCTTTCTCCTGGTGCTTGGTCTTAAACCTGGGCACCCTGGTTGACCCCTGAAAATGAACAGTCCTGTACCAGCACCCGAACAGGGCCAGGCTGTGGGATATGAGGGTTGGGAAGGACCCTGTCGAAGCGGTCGAACCATTGCTAACCTGTAGAGTCGGGTCCTAGTAGTGATCTTTCCTTTGCTGCCCAGTGGAACGCAAGACAACGAGTCTCATGAGATGGGGAGAAGATCACGAAGAAGCGCTGCCGATCCCTCGGATTCCAAGCACCATAGATTTGGTAACCTGAATCCCAAACAACCATTGCTTCACTAAGGATTTCACACTAACCAGGTCGACCATATTTTTCATGGTCTTGGAAGGCTAGGGCATTGAACCTAATTATGGAAGGTCTATTAGGGGAGGTTTTAGGGGAGGTTTCGACTTGAAGTCACATGGGCTTTCGTACTTCAATTCATAGGGAGACACCCGAGTCCTCTCGCCCCGGTCGGCTGGGTAGACTAGACTCGCTGTTCCGAAGCGATGCGAACTCAAGGGAAGGGGTCGGAACGGGCACCAAGCTGCAAAAGCTGCAGCAAGCTTGCCACTTCTCGCGTTGGGAGATCTTCAGATCGTCCGTCCTGGTCCGACATCGGTCCTTCACCCCTCCTCGTCTCGTCCTCCGTATGTCCGTGTCACGGGGGCGAGGAGCTCTTCTTGGGCCACGGAGCTGATCCGAACACCGTCCGCCTGCACGAGGCGCGACCGGGCGCGAGCCGGGACGCCGCGTGGCGCACGGGGTGCCCGCGACGAACCGCGCAACGCCGCGGTGCGCGGACGCCGCGTGCGCACGGGTGACCCGGAAGGATCTTGAACAGAGTTCGGTGGACGCTGTTGTTCCATGCTCTGTGAAAGCAACCGGTTCCCTCCCCGGGTTCCCTCTGTTTAATCGACCAATTGGAGGGTCCGGACAGGATTCGGGTCACAAAGTCCTGCACCTGACACCAACTCTGCACTTCCACATCCACAAAGTCCTGCATCTGCCACGAAATCTGCACTTCAAGGTCCACAAACGTCCTGCGCCTGCCACGAAATCTGCACTCCAAGGGCCACAAAGTATTACACCTGCCACGAAATCTACACTTCAAGGTCCACAAAAAGTCCTGCGCCTGCCACGAAATCTGCACTCCAAGGCCCACAAAGTCCTGCACCTGCCACCAACTCTGCACTTCCACATCCACA